CCATGTCTTGGCTGTTGTAAATAGTGCTGCTGTGAACATTGGGGTATATGTATCTTTCTGAATTACTGTTTTCTTTTTTTCCCAGACTCCACCCAAGAGTGGAATTCCTGGATCTTATGGTAGCTTTATTTTTAGTTTTTTGTGGAACTTCCATATTGTTTTCCGTAGTGCTTGCACCAATTTGCATTCCCACCAACAGTGTGCAAGGGCTCTCTCTTCTCCATCCCTCACCAGCAATCCTGAAACTTTATTTCATAAATCATGTCATTATACTTCTCAAAACTTTTAAATAATTAAAACTTCTCCATGTGACAATAAGATCCTCTACAACTGCACTGATTCGTGTTTCCAAACTTAGTGCTCATCTTTTTTAAATAAAAATTGTATATATTTAAGAAGTGCAACATAATGATTTGATATACATATACATTAATAGTTACTATGATCAACATATCATCATAGTTACCTTTTGTGTGTGTGATGAGAGCACCTGGAATCTACTCTCTTAACAAATATCTAGTATTCAACACAGTATTGAACATCCTCATCACGATGTGCACTGGATCTCTAGACTTACCATTCTATCAAACTGAAACTTTGTATCCTTTGACAATATCTTCCCATTTTCCCCACCTCCCTGCCCCTGGTAACCACGGTTCTGCTTACTGCTTCTATGAATTTGTTTTTTTCAAATTCCACATGTAAGTGAGAACATGCAGGGTTTTTTCTTTCTATGTTTCCCTTATTTCTTTTAGCATAATGTCCTCTAGGTTCATTTATGTTGTTGCAAATGTCAGGACCTCTGTCTTTTGTAGGGCCGAATAATATTCCTGTGTGTGTGTGTATGTGTGTAAATTTTTTATTCCAATCATGCATCAATGGACATGCAGGTTGTTTCTGTATCATCATGCCTTTTAATATCAGATAATATCAAAGGGCAAAAAAATTAGAAGTTTGGAAAAATAGAGTTTCCACAGATGGCTATAATGTGTTCCATAATTTAAAACATTATCAAGGTAGCATATGTATATCTGGATACTGCATATTTGTGAAAAGTTATCAACTACTTTACAGATGATAGAATATTTTGAATTTTATTTTCCATCCAAAGAAAACCCAGGCACAGAAAATTCAAGAATCCAGAATCCATTTTGTACATTGAAAAAGTTTATTTAAATTTAACTATAATTTTACAGGATAATTGTTGAAACTGACTACTGAGGAAGCACTGAAGATGAATTAAAAAAAAAACCTCATCAGTTACCTT